GGAGGGATGGAGTAGCGATTGCGAGTGCAAGGGGGAGTTGGGGTGCGATTTTGGCGGATGGCGCGTGTGTATGCAAAGGGGGCGCGAGGTGGGGGTAGGGCGTTGTAGTGTGCTGTTCGGGGGGTTGGGGGTGTGGAGGTTGAAGGTGTGGTGGTGGTGGCGGTTGTGTATGTGGAGGTTGTGCTGCGTCTGCGCAAGGCGGCTGGGGGCATGTGCGGGAGTCGGGCGCCGCGGAGACTGACTTCTTCGAGGGGGGAGGCTAGGGAGAATAGGTCTGAGTCTGCGACAGAGAAGCCGCGGGGGCTGCTGGGGTGGGAGAAGTCGGATTCGGTGGTGGGTATGTCTGGGAGCATGCGTTGGAGGGGTTGGGGGCGAGGGCGGGCTGGGTGTTTCTTGTGTTGTTTGGGTCTTCTGCTGCGCTCGTGGCGTCCTGGTTCTGGTCTTATGTCGCTGGTAGGGGGAGCTTCGATGGCTCTGTATCTTTGACGCGAGCTACCGACGTCGACTGGATCATAAGTGGGATCGTAATGGGATGGACGCCTGCTACGTGAGGATCTGGAAATGAAGCCATCGCTGACACTACGGTCTTGGAGCCTGGCTTGTTCTCGAGCATATCGGGCCTCGAATTTTCGATACTTGTCCAGCAGTTCCCCTGCCTCCTCGTAGCTGTCAGGTTCCTCTGTTCTGACGCCATGGCTGCGCGTGAATTCGTGCTTTGAACCCCGTCCATCTCTCCAAGTCCGGTAGTCTGGTGGATCCTCGTCAGATGGGCCACGGCTTGCTGAGCATCTGTCACGTGTGTGTGCGCCACTGAAATAATCACCAGGCTCAGAGTCACTCATATAATGAGCATCTTCATCATCATAGCGGCTCGATCTCTTCTCGTGACGTGCATCACGTTCCGCCCCATGTACCTCGTTGCGGTCTTCAGCCGTGGGAGCTTCAATAGCCTTTTGATTCTTCAAGAGCTCCTGGGCCTCTTCGCTCTCTGCAAGTGACACATCGCTAGAGACGAAGCCCTGATCATGGGCATAGGGCGAGATGTGGTCATCCTTGGTCTCTATGGGATCCTCCATGTAGTCCGAGCCCGAATCGGCATAGCCTGAATCGCTGCTGTGTCGAAGCTTGACCGTGGTGCCATAGTCGGGTTGAATGGATATGGAGATGTACTCCGAGGACTTTGACTGAGGTGGACGGATGATATAGTCGGAGGAATGTGATGAAGATCCCGGGTCGTGATAGATTGACATATGATGACCGTAACCTCGTCGATAGGACATGGTCGCTGGTACCGGTACTTGTCCTCAAGCCGTGCCTAGAGACGAATTGTGTGCAGCTATCTTGCTCAATGGCAGGGATGAGAGCTGCGAGACAAGTAGAATTTAAATGAAATGTCCATGAACCTTTGTGAAGATGAGCTTCTGGTTTCCTTCTGACTTGTCCCATCTGATCTGGATAAGTAGCATGCAAGTCGACGTGGTGAGTGGAGCTAACCGCACATGGACAGCACGCTAGTCGTCTGACACCTCCTCACCGGCTCGTGCTTATGGCCTTTCACTCCACTCTGCACTTCACCCCACAATTCCCAGCGTGCAGCCTCGCACCTGAAACACTTTGTAAATCGGATAATTCGGAACAATCGTACTGTAGTGCAAGAGAGTGAATGGCTGGGGGGTTATACCTCTCACCACCAATGCTGCCTCCTTCACCTACAGCTTACATTCTCTATCAAACGGAAGAAGCTCTCCAACCTTCTTCTCTGCCTCGAACCAAACAGACGAAGAAACAAACGTATAAAATAACTTTCCAGTATAGGCTCGACTGCAATGCCATCAAAACCCCCCTTTTCACACCGCAGCGATTCCCAAAGATATCACCCGCAGGCCGTCCCCGCCTCACCTCCACCGCATGCACCACGTAGTAGTAGGTAGATAGACAGCAGCCACTAGTCCCCCCCCCCCTCAAACACCAATACAGCAAGGGCCCAGACCATATTCTATTACCCACTTGAGACGTGGACGTACGTATTGTACTACCAAGTACAACAACCACATGCAGTCTTACCGCTGTACAGTATGCTCACTCGTTACCACCTCCAGCCTATCACTGCACTGTAAATCCAGACAGATTTTGATTTTCTTTCTTTTGGAAATGCAAGTGTCATGACGAGGAAGGTTTTGAACGTCACGCTAGTACGGGTAGATTATCCGCAGAGTACTATTTATTACCGCTCTTAGCTTCACTGTGTGTATCAAGCTTTTGTTACGTGTAACGATCCAAAGGCACGAGACCGACTACGCGTTGGTGGCGGCAACAAGCCCCGACTTCAAGTGAACTCAACACCACTCAGACAACAGATTCACCGGCTCTCTCGCAACCAGCTTTCATTTTGAATCTTCTTTTCTTAGAGTGACCACAACAGCGTGCAGGCGTACATGCAGGCGTGCCGGGTAGCTATCCAATCCCTGCGCACCTCCATCCAGCCCTCCAAAACCATCTACAGCCCAAATTGACCCTCGACCTCCTTCCTCCTCTGCTCCCTCTCCAACTCCTGCCTCAACTTCTCCACTTCCTCTGTGACCCCCTTTTCGCCCTTTTTGCGCTGCCTCTCCTCATACAGGGCGCGGCCCTTCATGATTCGTGTCACGATTTCAGCCGCATTGACGTTTTGGAACTCGTGGTTTGCGATTTCGCGGTAGATGCCGATGGCTTTGGGGACGGCGTACGGGTCAAAGGCGAGGGGCATGAAGGTGGTTTTGCCGTGGTAGACGGCAGAAGGCGTGGAGTAAGGAAGGGTGAGGAGGAAAGCTTTGGAGAGGGAGAAGGGGGCGCCGAAGATGGCGGCATGGATGTACTATTGAGAGGCATGGGTCAGGATGTTTATTCATTCGTGGATAGAGTTTTGCATGAAGAAAACGAACCTTGCATTGGAGGACGCAGAGACCGCGCTCGAATGTGTTCATGATGGGGTAGTTTATGCCTTTCCAGTGGTTAATGACTTCATCTTCGTGGATGCCTGCGACAAGGAAGAGCGGGCCATAGTCTGCGCCTGTCTTTTCTATGCGCTCTTGTTTAGCTTCTTCCGTGTACCAGCCTGTCTCTTTCGCGGCCTCTTCTTCGGTCTTGGTGACGTGGCGTAGGAACTCGATATGGCCCGAGGAAAACAAGTCCCAGCCGCCATCGACATAGACGACCTTTTGACCGGGCTTGATGCCCTTTCCCTCGACGAGCTGGTGAAAGGTGCCCTTCTCTTCCTTGACGGGTCCTTGGGAAGCAGTCGAGTCTTGACGCGGGGCCCCTGGCCTTGAGGCAGAAGCGGTATTACTCGTAGTCGTCCTCCTGAGCTTGGCCGGCCGAGAAGCATGCCAATACCAGACATCGCAGCCAGGCGCAAGACCCGTCTCGTCGGTGGCATAGTCTTTGATGCGTTGCAGCATGGCTTGTCCGGTTTCCAGGCGCTCAGCCTCTCCGCCAGGGCCCTCGTCGCCTGAGAGTCTCTTCTCCAGTGACTGGATAAAGTGCGACTTGGTGCAGAGCAACATGCGACCTACGAGATCGGTCGTCGAGATGCCCGGTGTGCGCTTGACCACCTTGAATCTACCTGCGGCCTTGACATAGCGGTAGCAGTCCTTGCCGTCGCTGTCGGAGGTGATGTCATCGCCATGGACGACGTAATGGCAGCCGTAGTGTGTTATCCAGGGCAGCGAGGTCACGTAGGGGGCTTTGGGGATGGCCTTGGTCGCCCAGCGACAAGCTTCGACGGCGGTGACTCTGCAGCATTATGATTAGAGGAGGGGTTGGTGACAAGGTAGGCTCATGTGAGGCGCACCGTTCGTCCAGGCGCATGACAGTTGGACCCTTGTTCTCGAGGATGCTCTCATCGGAGTGCACGCCAACCAGCAGCTCGTTGCCGAGTTGGCGGGCCTGAAGCATGGCACCCGCATGGCCTAGGAGGAGAGGTTGTGAGCAGTGCGCATAGAGGCAGGGGAGGAGAGGTTGTGAGCAGTGCGCATAGAGGCAGAGGAGGAGAGAAGAGAGAGAGAGAGAGCCAAAGGAAGAGAGAATGAGAGACAGCAAATCATGTGTGCGCGACAAACATACCGTGGTGGGCAAAGTCGAAGCAGCCGTCAACCCAAATGCGCTGCTCGGACACGGGCACGTCTTCCTGGGGATCCACCGGCCATCTGCCCTCTGTGGGGATCCATTCTCCCTGGTGGACATGTCAGCATGGCGCCTTTTATCCATGTGTGGCATGAATGGCAGTGCGAGGGCGAGAGCCTTACTCTTGCGCTCTGTCGGCGCTGCATGACGTGGACGTGGGGTTAACCGGTACCTGGGGCGGGGCAGCTGAGCAGCTCGCAAAAGGAAACTCTATTCTATCGAGGGCATGGACAGCAGAGCTCTCTCGGAGGATAACGATGGGAGGGGAGGGGGAAAGGGAAAAGAAGAATGGCTGAGCCTGGACAAAAAGTGAGGCCGGCTCGGTGAACGTGCTGGTGAAAGGCGTGGGAGTCGTTGCGGCCAGCTTCCGTACGAGAAACTTGTCTGGCCTGGGCAGAGAGCGTGGTGACCATCACTTGCCCCCTTCGCACGTGGCCCGCCGCCCTGGCTGCCCATACAATCATTGTAATTATCCCATACAATCATTGTAATTATCCCATACAATCATTGTAATTATCCCATACAATCATTGTAATTATCCCATACAATCATTGTAATTAACCCATACAATCATTGTAATTGTACTATGATAGACAAGTACACACACACACACACACATTGGACATTGGCCTCTGGCGCTGGCTTCCCAGGTTCGCAAATGCTGCTCCTGCGCCCGCCCCTCGCCCCTTTGGCCGCCCCCCCTTTGGCCGCCCCCCCTTTGGCCGCCCCCCCTTTGGCCGCCCCCCCCCTTTGGCCCCTCTCTGGCCGCTCCTCTGGTCCTCCCTCGACCCCGGTTTT